CAGCAAATGTGCCCGTCAGTGGTGCCTCTAGTCAGGCCGCAAGGGTCTGAGCATGGGGGCGGAGGGGACGTTCCCAGGGCATGTTGGGCCAGAGCAGGAGCTCTGGGTGCTCCCGGGAGCTGCTCTCTGTCCCCGGGCCCTTGTGCCACCCTGGGCCTCTGCCACGCCAGGGTGGTGTGAGCTGGGCGGTGTGCTGTGGCCGGGGGGGTTTCCAGGGAGTCCTGCGTGGGGCAGGGTGGTCTGGAGGCACTTTGGGGTCCCCTTGTTCAGGGGTTGGGGAAAACCCTTCTGCCACCCACCCCATCGCCCAGAGGTGGCAGGTGTCGGCGCTGCCAAGGGCTCAGCCAAGCCCTCTCCTGTCCCCATCCTCGTCCCACACTGACCCCGACACACCAACAGACCCCGCTCTTGGCAGCCCCTGGGTGTGAGTTGTCCCCTCTCAGTTTATCTGTGCCCCTGCCAGGATGCACCAACCTCAGAGGAGCTGGAGCAGTTCGCCAAGGACCTCAAGCACAAGCGCATCATGCTGGGCTTCACCCAGGCTGACGTGGGGCTGGCTCTGGGCACCCTCTACGGTAAGGGTCCAGTAAGGGTCCTTGTCTCCCCCCTCCCCGGGGGGAAGGGAGAGGCCTGGCATGGGGATGGAGCATCTGCTCCTTAACAACCTGCAAAGGAGGTGGTGAGCACCAGCCCCAGGCTTCTGGGGCTCCATCACCCTGTTAAGTACTCACTCAAGCTGTCAGAGTTTGATAACAAGGAACTGGTTTAAAATAGCTATAGCTGCTTATTGACGAGTGTTTCAGGGCTTTAAATGCCTGCTGAAGCAGCAGGGAGAATGCCTTTCCTGGTGTCCCATTCCCAGGGATAGAGGATGCTGGAGGGGGGACCCTGGGGGGCTGCTAGAGGTGGGAGATCCCCCAGCATGGGGGCAGGAGCGGTGCATGACCCCTGCCTGCCCGCGCAGGGAAGATGTTCAGCCAGACGACCATCTGCCGCTTCGAAGCGCTCCAGCTCAGCTTCAAGAACATGTGCAAGCTGAAGCCACTGCTGCAGCGTTGGCTCAACGAGGCAGAGAACACGGACAACATGCAAGAGGTACGGGGCTGGGGAGGGCCGGGAGTCGGCGGTACCACACACCGATGGGCCCTTACGCTGTAGCTTCTCTTCCCTTTTACGCGTGCTTTTTGGGAGAGAGGAGGGGAGCAGCAAGTGTCTCATGCCATAGCAGCATCGCACTGCTGTGGCTTCAGTCTGGCTGTGCAGGGAACCACTGATATCACTTTCTGCCAGGCTGGGGGGAGCCCAAATCCCCCCACAGACACCTTGTGACAACTGTGGCAGCTCCTGTCTCAGAGCAACCAGGTCCTGCTGGAATCTCGGGATACGCCGGAGTGCAGCTTGCTGCTCCCGGGGGAGCCTGGGGAGAGGTAGGGAAACGTGTCCATCCCCCCTGCACCAGCTACAGGCAGTGCTGGGACACTGCAAATGGCCCCAGTTGCAGTGGGGTGACACTCAGTGGACAGTCACGGGGACAAAGCCTGTCCCCATCCCTCCCAGACCTCTGCAGCCAGGCGCATGTGTGTCCAGAGCCTGGTGGGGACATTGTTAGCTCTGTGACCAAGCATGTGGCCTTTCTCTCATTTCCAGATGTGCAATGCAGAGCAAGTGTTGGCCCAAGCCCGGAAGAGAAAACGCAGGACCAGCATCGAGACCAACGTGAAGGGGACGCTGGAGAGCTTCTTCCGCAAGTGCGTGAAGCCCAGTCCCCAGGAGATCTCCCAGATCGCCGAGGACCTCAACCTGGACAAAGATGTAGGTTGGGAGGGTTTGCAGGGTGGGTTCCTGAGCACCCACATCAAGCCAGTTCGATACCAGGAACTGTGGGAGAGTATCCGGGGCTGGTAGCCACCATCAGCCTGTCCGAGTCCAGCCCCAGGAGGAGCTGTGGCAGGGAGGGTGCTGTGCTGGCGGGTCAGGGTGCTGTGGAGATGCCACCAGCAGAAGGGTCTCCTTGTCACCCGCACAGCGCCTGGGCTCACCCACTTCACCCTTCCCCATCTCCCCTCCCTCGCAGGTGGTCCGGGTCTGGTTCTGCAACCGGCGTCAGAAAGGCAAACGGCTGCTGCTGCCCTTCGGCAATGAGGCGGAGGGGGTGATGTACGACATGAACCAGTCCCTGGTGCCCACCGGCCTGCCCATCCCGGTGACATCCCAGGGCTACAGCCTGGCGCCCTCCCCTCCCGTCTACATGCCGCCCTTCCAC